CAAGTTCTCAAGATTATACACTATTTATTAACTGTCTATCACTCTGAGACTGATGATGTATCAGAATAGATAATTCAGACTGTAAAAAATTATCTTTATAAGTTCTATAATTACTTATAAGATAATTGATATAATCTTCTTCTATATATTAAAGTCACTATCAATAACTGAGATGTTATTTCAATAGATATAAGTGTATTCTTTCTCATATATGAATATTATATAAAAGTACTGAATTTTCTAGAGATTATATATTTCATATCAAATCTCTGTAGTTTAATTCAGATTGCTGATAATATAGTAATAAAACTCTGAGATATCTGTGATTAAGTAGAAGTCTTTATAACAAGTACTAAATAGAATTAAGAAGATTAAATTAATGTTTATTAAAATCTCACTGAGTAATATAAAATAGAAGATCTGATATAATTAAATCTTAAGAATATATAGATTATACACTTATCTTACACATTGAATTATCATTATATAAAGTATAAAGTGATAGAAGTTCTAGATAGTTATAACTATTATCTTGATATATTATCAGAGATTTATAATATCTTTTATACAAGTAGACTGACCGCCGGGATCATGAATTTCATGTTTGATCTCATTTAATCTGATCTCATACATTTCTTGGCGTGAATTCTGCTGAGACTGGCTATTAAAAAAACATGTAAAGTGACTATATATCAGATTTTAAAATGAAATCATGACTTGAAAAAAATGAGAAAGTGATTTCATTTGATCTCATTTAGTCTCATTCTTGATATAAAGTTACTATTTTTAGACATTTTAAGGTTTTTTTTAAACTATTTTTAATTTTTTAAAAAGTAACACTTTTTGATAACACTTAAATGAGATTTAAAGTCATTTAAAGCAATAAAAATAATTTACATTAAGAAGTGAAAATCATGATCTCATTTGAAAAATGTGATAAGAGTAGACAGTAAGTCTCACTGAGACAGTATGAAACTACTATCTAATGTTAAAACTGTGTAATGAGATCAGTCAAATTGATAATAAAACTATTAAAAAATCTGATTCTGATTTCAGACTAGACTGGCCGCTGAGATTATGAATTTCACATTTAATCTCATTTAATCTGATCTTATACATTTCTTGGCGTGAATCTCACTGGAACTGGCTATTAAAAAAACATGTAAAGTGACTATATATTAGATTTTAAAATGAAATCATGACTTGAAAAAAATGAGAAAGTGATTTCATTTGATTTCATTTAGTCTCATTCTTAGTATAAAGTTACTATTTTTAGACATTTTAAGGTTTTTTTAGACTATTTTTAATTTTTTAAAAAGTAATGCTTTTTGATAACACTCAAATGAGATTTAAAGTCATTTAAAGCAATAAAAATAATTTAAATTGAGAAGTGAAAATCATGATCTCATTTGAAAAATGTGATAAGAGTAGATAGTAAGTCTCACTGAAACAGTATAAGACTACTATCTAATATTAAAATCATGTAATGAGATCAGTTGAATTGATAATAAGACTATTAAAAAATCTGATCCTGGTCTCAGACACGGTCACACGGTCAGTCTATTTCAGACACGGTCACACAGTCAGTCTATATACAGGCTTACTTTATTATATTATCACTGATTTATTTTCTTCTTAACTGACTTCTGACTGACAGCTGTTAGAGATTATAGAAGAAGATAACAAACTTGAATAAGAGATTAAAGATATTCTTAATAAGAGATTCTACAGCTGCAGTTAATAATATCTTATAAAATAAGTCAGCTATAATTACTTAATCTGAACTCTGAGTTTCATGTTATCTGAGACTGCAGCTCTTGACTGATAAAAGCTATATATAATTAAAAAAGAGAAAAGAAGCTAATGTAATAAGCTGTACTCAATCTATTATATAGATTATTTTATTACACTTTACAGATTTTCATCACTCTGATTCTCAGTTGTTAATTCTCAGCTGAAAATCTACAGAATTTCTATTCTTTCACTCTGAAGCTTTATTATATATAAAAACCTCTATTCTTTCACTCTGAAGTTTCACTATGTATATCACTGTGTATATATATAAATATTCACTTTAATTACTAATTCTCACACTTTCTCTTTCTTTTCTTCTCTAATGTTTTTCACTTTATTATGTAAGATCTATAAATATTATACTGATCTATTCAGTGCAGACTTCTTACAATTATATAAAGATAGTTATTTAAAAAGCTGTATAAGTAAGCTTAACTATCTTACTTAAATAGTGAGCTTATAAGCTACAGAGTTATTATAAGAATATCACAGATATAATACTTAGTATACTAAGAAGATTATATAAGAAATACAGTAACTCTTATATATCTTTCAGTAAAAGAAAAAATAAATTACTGACTTCTTGAATTAAGAGTCAGTATTCAGCTATTTTATATATATAATAAGTAAATGCTCTTCTTCTATTCTATAAGTGAGAATAGTCAGAGTGATATCTTAGCAGTATCTCACTATTATAAAAGAGAAATCTGCTGATCTTATATAAAAGCAGAGTTCTTATATTCATCAATCAAATATTTCTATATTATATTCAAATGATGTTATAGAGTGATTGAAAACCAGTTTAAACAGTCTGTAGAATGAATGAAATTATCTGCAGAGAAGTAATAAGCTGTATAAAACCGCAGCAGGGCCTTGACGCGGCCAGAGGCGTGATAATTAGTCTCAGCGGAATTTACGCTAAGAAATGTATGAGATCAGATTAAATGAGATTAAACATGAAATTCATGATTTCAGCAGTCAGTCTAATTATCAGATATATATAACACTGATTTATATATCTTTATTTATAAATGAAACTTCTGTTTTATATAATCTTTTAATTGACTGTTGATATATTAATCTTGATAAGTTAACAGACTGATAACATTTTCATCTACACTTAGTTTCATAAGCATTTTCAATCTTTATAATGAATAGAGAGTGAGATCAGAAGTATTAAAATATATAAGAGTATTTAAACATTTCTTCAGTACTTATATCATATTTATATCTGATTCAGTCAGTGTTAAAATTATCTGTACAGAGGTTTCTAGTTAAGATAATCATTGAATTTCTTTATATTAATATTATTAAGTTACATGCATATCAGCTATCTATTACTATTGTAATTTCAATATTACTCAGAGTCACTGTGATACTGTGTCTATACTTGTATTTAAGAGTTCTCTTATGCTATTAGTAGACATAGCTATATCATTTATTAGATATATGAAATCAGAAGAAGTGTAATTATATAAATATCTTATATATCTAAGATATCAGAACTCTTAAATCTTTTACTAATATTCTCTTATAAAATCTTGTTACAGAGTCAGAGTGACTGATAAGTAAGCTTTTATCTAGAGACTTAGTATCTACTTAACTAATTGTTTATTTCTCTATTTTTTATATATTATTATGTATTTAAATACCTTCTCAAGAAGTAATCATTTCTAATAAGAAGATAAAGAATATTTTTTTTCAAGTATAAGAGGTCTACACTGAATAGATTGATATAATATATATAGATCTTATAATATAAAAGTGAAAAATGTTAGAGAAGAAAAAAAAGAGAAAGTGCAGAAATTGATAATCAGAGTAAATATTTATACATGTATGTAATAAAGCTTTGAAGTGAAAGAATAGAAATTATATGTGTATACAGTAAAGCTTTGAGATGAAAGAATAGAAATTCTGTTGATTTTTCAGCTGAGAATTAATAACTGAGAATCGGAGCTTTCAGCAGAAATTTATGAAGTGTAATGAAATAGTCTATATAATTGATTGAGCGCAGCCTGCTACACTATTGTATAAGAGAATAAAACCTTTTCACACAATTATTATATTTAATATTATATGTATAATATTCATAAAACTCAACAGCTGTTTTAATGTGAGAATTCATCTGATTTCAACATAATTGAGACAGCTTAATCTTGAATAAAGCATAGAATAATAAAAAAAGAAGCTTTTAAAAACTGCACAGAAGCAGTTAGAGTATAAGAGTAGATATGAAAGAATCTATCACAAGAGAAGATACAGATATGAATTGAGTGAATTTCTGTACATATTGAAAAGATTATAGAGTTAGAAGCTGGCAATAAGTATAGAGAAGAAAGGTGACACAGGCAGATGAAAAAATAGAATACTTATCTGACTCTGCAGAGTGACAGATTGGCAGGCAGATTGGCAGGCAGATTACACATTAAAAAGAGGCAGATTGGCGGGCAGATTGGCATGCAGATTACATGTTAAAAGAGTGGCAGATTTCATGTTGAATGGCAGTGAAAACAAGGAATAACTAGCTGAATATTCAGTATAAAATACAGTGTGAATTTCTGCCAAGATTTGTGGCACTGTCAAGCTGTCTTTTTGCGGGCGCAATTCTTTTAGAGTATCGTATATGGTAACTATGGTTGCCGACGGGATGGCCCCACACATAAATACTATAGGCTCCGGACTTCTCTATATCAGGCATCACGCAAAATTGACGCCCAACAATCACAGCCTGCCAACAAGTATATCGATTAGTTATATACGCCCCTTGCTCTCCAGCCTAGCAGCCCTGGAATTCTCTTCTTCTGAAATGAAATCGCAACCAGATCCACTCCCTTTTTGGCCTGACCAGTGATTGAGAGCCCCTTGGATAGCCCGCTCTTCCTCCCATATATCCCCTCACTGCTATCCTATCCCCGGAGTATCAACATTTAACAGGCGGTGCTTCACAGCAATCGATCCACTCTCTTTATACATTACATATTTGCGGTCCTTTGGCTGTATTGGGTCCATGCTGTGAGTTGTCACTACCGCCGTCATCCATCCACACCGCCAATCGTTTCGACCTTCCAGCATCCTCCCCAGCCTCTCGAATAAAACTCTCAATTCAAGCCGTGCAATATTTATATTTTCAGAAGCTGGTATCTTTTTTGTGATATTATTGTTGGAAATATCCACACGGTTCCTGGCAGAAGCAAACGTACATCAACATGGCTGCCATAGGACAAACCATAGCAGTGTTCGACAAGTCGGGGAAGGTGGTGAGCACAGTAAGTCATTACTATATACCCCTCTAGAAAAAACAACTGCTTACGATACTCGTCGACATCAGAGCAAACAACTGTTTGGTGTCTTCAAAGAAGCTAGATTAGCTTATCGAGAACGCAAAGCCGAAATCAACGCAGAGAAAGCGATTAAGAATGCGGAACGGGAAGCACGCCGAGCAATGGCTAACTATCACATTCACGATTCCCGATCCGTTGCCTCCTCAAGAAGACACCCAGGAAGATCGAAATCAGTGGCTAGACACAGTGAAGTAGATCGTCATCCTTCCCACCGGTACCCTCATGAGATTGATCATGACTCGGAATCCCTATACTCCCACCCAGACCATATGCCAAAACGGGAACTTATGCCAAAACGGGAACTCTCGCGCCACCACACCTCAAATGTCGTCGCTGCTCAACCCCAATATCTCCACCCCGGCAATCGGTCCCGTTCCGTTCCCCACGTCGACATGGATCTGGCATACGGTGAATATCACCCTGACTCGCTAGAGCGGGTGAACTCAAACCCTGAGGATGTGATGGGCGGACTGGTCGCCAAAGCCAAAGGCCTTCTTGTCGAAGCCGACTGTGCACAGCACTCTGCACAAGCCACGATGGCCCACTTACAGAAGAATCCTGAAGCGATGGCTGCCGTAGCGCTCACGCTAGCTGAGATCAGCAATCTCGCCTCGAAGCTAGCTCCAGCGGCCCTGGCGGCCTTGAAGTCCAGCTCACCAGCCGTGTTTGCACTTCTATCCAGTCCTCAGTTCATGATTGCCGCTGGGGTCGGAATTGGTGTTACTGTCGTCATGTTCGGGGGGTACAAGATTGTCAAGCGCATCCAAGCCGCGAGTGGCATGCAGCCAGAGGGCAGCACGGATGAATTGATAGAACTCAACCAGGACGTTAGTCGCGTGGAGAGCTGGAGACGTGGCGTTGCTGATTTCGAGGCGGAGAGCGTCGCGACGTCCGTTGATGGAGAGTTTATCACTCCGAGGGCTGCTGCTGTGTCTGGGATCTTCCCCACCGGCCACAGCCATTACCACCACCTTCGATCCGAATATGGAGGCGGAAGTAGACGAGGAAGCGTTAGAGGTGCAGAGACTGTCAGGGATAACGCATCAAGCTATACACATACGACCCGAAGTTCCAGACGGTCAAGGCGATCTAGTGCCCCGCCGACTGAAGCGAGTGGCAAGGACAAGAAAGACAAGAGAGACAAGAAAAAGAAAGAAAAGACGAAGAAGCCCAGTCCTCTGCGACATCTGTTCAAGCCTAAATGAAAAAGGCTCTTTTTTTTTCCTTTCCAAAAGGAAGTATGAAAACCACCAATTTCTATTTCTGTTTCTTTGCTTTTTTCTTTTCTTATTTTTTCCCTTTTCTCAAAAAAACATCCAAACGAGAAATAATGACCCGATTTATCCTTTTTGTTACTTAAATTTGTTGTCTTCCATTTCTTTATGAATATATCTTGGTCATGTTACATATGTGGACCCGATGATTTTCAAGGCGTTTGTATACTGTCATTTTCTCAGAATTTGATACCATGGAGCGCGAACAAGGGATTTGGCCCTCATCTTACTTTCTTTTTGTTTATATTTGAACCTAATATTCACCTAGCCTTTTTGTCTTTTGACCCCATACCCTAAGCACCAATTACTATCTTCTACTATATATATTTCTTGGTATTTACATATGTATGTACTAGAACATTTTTCCTATCCACCACTTTAGTAACATGCGAGTCCTGAACTTGCTTGAAACCTGTTTGGTTTTACTTTCAAAGCATTCTCAGGGTTTAAATAGATATATAGAGAGATCTACAATGCTTCAATGGAGTTATTTCATCGATCAGGAAAAGTTTTCTGAAATAACTTGACGGCAACCAACACCTCAACAACCAACCACCAGCAACACACACAGGCGCCGATAGGGCTCCAAAGTTACCCCTGAACAGACTTGGGATCGAGAAAAAATGGCTTAGCAAGACATGAGGATTCGCCCCGTTTCAACTCCAGAAACAACAGATACTCTCACGCGTTCTCGCAAAAGAGAGAGTCAAAAGCAAAAAAAAGCCAAGGTCGATCGGTCGCATTGAACAGAACCATTGTTCAAATAAAACTGATATAAAAACATCCAGCCAGCTCCAACTTAAAAACAACCTGGTGGTGGTAATCGCGCCTTTCATCGCTCGAAAATATAAATCTAACCTAAAAGCCCAGTCTTCCTGCAATCCTTACCAGTTAGCCTAGGAAAGCCTATAATTGTTTTCCGACATGGTTCGCTTGCCAGCTTAAATAACGGGGAACTCAGATCGCCAAACATTCAACGTCAAAAATAACCGTTAGCACCTCCATTGTCACCTATGAAAAAATAAAAGCGGTTGCATCAGTTCAAGATCACACCAAAACAGGAATCTGCGATAACAGGGAGCAGGCATCAGATCATACTAAATATGTTGAGAGAGAGAGAGAGAGAGAGAGAGAGAGAGAGAGAGTGTGTGTGTGTGTGTGTGTCCTCCGAAGCCTTCTTTCGTCAATCTCAAGCTATGTATGTAACCAGCCCTGGAGTTATTAAGTAACTCGAGGTAATCCCAGCTCTCGCGCGTTGAAGAAGGCTGTTGCAACAGAGGGTATAGAGGATAATGCCGCCGTCCTTCACCTTTTTTGAAGAGGAAGAATACAGAATGGAAAAGAAAAGAAAAGTGATCTGGAAAGGTAGATGAAGGAGAATGGTACGGCCTCGACTTGCACTGAGTGTGTTATTATGTTTTATATACATATCTATTGCTGAGCCCCTTTCCACACTCATACATAGCTGCGTAGCATTACTCCCAGGCCCTGCTCCATTGATATCTATCTATCTTTGCAAGTTCGAAAATAGAATATCAAAAGTACCTCATCCGCAGGCCCCCGGGCTAACAAAATAAGACCAAGAACATCTAGGGCTCGTGGTTGGGACAAAGAAAAAAATAATAGACACCTGGGCTATCGTTGTCCCCAGGCGCTCAGTGGGTGGAGGGAGCCATGAGGCCAGGGAGCTTGCCCTTCCTGCTTAGTCTTATGTTCATATCTCGCGGAAAGGGATCAAGTCAAATATCTATCTATATGATGACGGTTTCGTTTCGTGGTGGGGTTCCAAGGCCCCAATTTCTGATGTATTTTATATATAGAACGAGCGTCCTGCAGACAGGCTATGATAGATAGATCAGTTAACTATGTACAGTACTGTATTTGTTAGAGAGCGACGCGACGCGACGGGTGTAGATGACTTTTACTAGGTTACTTGTAGTATACAGAAAATTTGAATCAATAAGTCAACTAACGGGAGGAGGGAGGAGTGATTACAGCTCTATTGTCCCTCCCCTCTTTAGTAAATCCACGATTTGGGATAGCTGTTTTCCTCAGCAACCTCTCGAAACGCGCGCGCCACAGTCCAAGCACCATTCTCCAGCAAAAAGCATCAGCTACATACCTCCATTGAGCCTCCCGTAGCCAAATATGGCCACCAGTCACCGGCAAGGGTGACGGACGATGGAGTGGAGGTTGGGCACGCAGTGCTGGAAAGGAGAGAAGAGATAGAGTAAATAGCGGAGGGGGAATTCCGCCACACATCACGACATCACGGCCCAGCGCGCGCGGGGACCTATGGCCGGGTGTTCTTGGCAAGACTTGGTCCAAATTCAGTATTCCGAATGATAGGTGGTTGCTGCTGATATCTGATATCGAATATTGAAACATCGGGGCGAACCTGCTCGCTGCTGGTCTTTTGGCTATCCCACCGCACACCTATCTGTCAGCTATCTCGGACTTGAACCAGGAAAGGGGACACATATCAGTCAGGTTGTGCGCCCTAGCCAACTCATGTCGGCCGTAGGGGGGAAAGAAGACGCTCCAATGCTCCCATGCTCCCATGCTCTGATATAGAAAAGTGGAATTAAAAAAGAAGAGTGTGATGAACGCCTCATCCCATCCATGCCCTGTCGGTTCAATGGAATTTTAGGGGGCGTTGTTATATTTTTTATAGAAATAGAAATATATGAATCCCACGCACTCACTTTGCATTCATTCCGCACAAAATAGCCCATTAATCGCAAGAAGTCAAGATACAAAAGGAAAGCGCTATTTTTCTTTTGCAATCCATCAAACGATCGCATTCATGAAGGAAGAACATGTATTTCTTTCTTTCCCGCCCCTCCCCCGCCAATGGCATAAAAAGGAAAAGAAAAAAAAAAGTCCTTGTGGGCATCACGAAAATCCCACCCTCATCTCATCTCATCTCGCACTCCCTAGCCTAGCCAGTCTTAGCCCTAGCCCCGCCGTACGTACGGGAATTCAGCTACTACTACTGAGTTACTAGTTGGAGAACCGACAACGAAAAAACACTTACCGCTAGATATTGTAGTAGTAAGCGGAGGGGAAGCCTTCTACACCTATCCCAGATGAGACTTTCGCCAGAGAATTATCATGTCGGGCACCGAGATGGGATGGGTGAGCTGGCTGGCTGGCTTGCGCGGTGTGCTTTGCTCTAGCGATAGCGCTGCCTAGCAAAATTTGTTAGGACAGATAGACGTTCTAGGGCGATGGCGGGTGCAGAAGGGAAGAAAGGAAGAAGGAGGAAGCCCAGGCATTGAATTGAATTGAATTGAATTGATCCAGCCGTATCGAATCGGATCAACCTAGAACAGGGGGGGAGAGCAGCAGGGTGTTCGTTCATACGAGTCGTGAAGTAATAAACGGGGCAGGATTTTTTGTAATTTTGAAGTGTTGTTATTTTTTATTTTTTTATTATTTTCCGGGTCAGTTCCTGGTTGCTGAATGGTGAATGCTGTCATCATGTTGGGAGAAGAATAAACAATAATGCAAGACAGGAGGCTGTGCAGACACTCGTTAGTTAGACGATTGGGCAGAGAAGGGGAAGGAAGTGTTGGCCCTTACGGCCGTTGCGGTTAGCGATCCCATTAGATCACGTGACCCACCACTATATTATGTTCTTATAGATAGATCTATCAATACAATCTTCAACTATTCTACAGATTATAGTCTGAAGAGCACATTTTTCTTTTTAGAATATTATATTAATATTTTTAACATGAATAGTTTATCTTTTTTAAAAAGACTCTTACTCTTTATTAGAGATATTTCATTTTCTCTAAATCTGTTAATTAATAGATTTATATACTTTATATTTTTAAAAAAGCATGTTCTTCATTGTGAAAAATATCACTTTTCTTATTTTTTTTTTTTTTTTTTTTTTTTTATATATCTAGAAGAAGCAGAGTTATTTTAATATAAGTAATATATCTATTACTTCAGAGTTTAACTTAAGACTTAGAACTACACACTTTACTAGATAACTTATTAATAGAATAATTACTTATTATAAGAAGACTTCTAACTTATAAAATAAGACTGAGATAAGTTTTTATCAGAGTATGAAATTTAATAATAAGATAATAAAGAAGCTTCAGAATAAAGAAAAGCAGAGTTAATATTTATTTATAAAATTTATTTATTTTAACTTATTAAATTCTTCACTATTCTTTATCTCTGAAATACTGACTTTTAATAATAATCTGAATTAATCTATCTATTATACTACAGACAATCTTATGAATTTTATATAGATAATACTATAGAACTAAATAACTATAGCTGAAATTACTTAACATCTTACTATATCTATTTTTGTATAAAGAGATACTATAAGAGATGAGTTATAGAAATATTAGAAGAAAGTTAAATATATACTAAATATTAAATTAGTAATTATATTTAATAACTTTAATTATAAAGTCTGATATATTAATATATTAACTGATATGAAAGTTATTAATGAAATTAATATTCTATTAAGAACTCAATAAGAATTCTCTTTTATATATTATATTAACTCTGAGAAGTGAAGAATTCATTTCAAGTCTCTATATAAATGTATACTATTAAGTCTTATTAAAAATGTTTAAATTATTACTAAGATCTTGAAAGCTGATAATACTATAACTCTGTAAGATAAAATTAATATTAAATATATAATATCACTGATAGAAGAATGAGTTAATATCTTTAAGAAATTGATAAAATTATAAGTTAAGAAGAATGATTATCTTACTTTTCAGAGATATTTTCACTATTTTATTATCTATTATAAGAAGCTCTGTCAGAGTACTAAGAATATATATTATAATCTTTTTCTTAACAATCTACAAGATTATCAAAGATTATTTATTAAAATATATTTAAATAAGTTTTTCTTCACTGATCAGAGACTCATTGTTAACATT